GACATGTAGCCTGGCGCCTGTGCTAGTTCCTGACTTCTTAGAGAGCAAGGGAAACTCCCTCTGCCTTTTTTCCTTGGGGGCTCCCCTCCTCCCCACCCGTCCACCAAGCCCCAGCTTTTGCTAAGTTCCAGGTCTGTTGATGTGTTAGGTGACCCTGATCCCTTAAGTCCAGGCCCCTCACTGAGGATGGAGCAGCCCCAAGATGCTAGGCAGTGGGCTACTGTTGGGGCTCATGCTCCTGCACCCCCATCTGGCCTGCAGCAGCCCCCCACCTTGCTAAAGAACCAATCCTCAGCATCCTTGCGGTTCTTCTCCGCCATCTTCTCATACTGGTCGCGCATCTCGGACAGGATCCGGCTCAGGTCCACACCAGGGGCTGCATCCATCTCCACATTGATCTCACCGCCCACCTGGCCTCGCAGGGAGTTCATTTCCTGTGGACAAGGGGGATGTGGGCATGAACATCTGAACCTGTCTCGGCCCCCCCACTCCCAAGTTCCCCACACCCTTCATCTGGGTCTCTCCACGCCCTACTCCTAAGGACCCCTCTTCTGCTCTGCCCAGCTGCTTTCCTTAGACCCTCTTAAGGATTTCTGATCCTCTGCTCACCATGGGTCCTGCCTCCCTCATTAGACTGAGAGCTCTCCAAAGAGCTAATTCTTAGGCCTGTGATCCTAAAAATTTCCTCTTCCAACTTCCAAATGGATTTGCAAGGTACAGATTTGTGGGTTTAAAAACTGAGGCAGGATTCCACATCCCCACTCATCTGCTGTCATTGTGAGGGAGGCCCTGGTGGCTCCTGGGAGGTTTTGGATGCAGAGAAGCAGTGTGGTATATGGAGGAGGCTGCCTTCTGGACCATTGGGATCAGGGCTCTGTAGATGGGGCAGCCCTACGCGGTGACTAACCCAGTGAGCCTGCTCTGCTCTCTCCCATTGCCTCAACCGCAGCCCAGCCCCAGGGCCCTGCCACCCACTCCTCAGCCTCTTTGACCTGCTGCCCCTGCCACCTCACCTCCTCGTGGTTCTTCCTGAGGTAGGCCAGCTCCTCCTTAAGATTCTCAATCTGCATCTCCAGGTCAGCCCTGGCCAGGGTCAGCTCGTCCAGCACCCTGCGCAGGCCGTTGATGTCGGCCTCCACACTCAGACGCAGGGCCTGCTCTGTCTCAAACCTGCAATGGCAACCAGGGACTTCAGTGGACTTGGACTTGCAGGACAAGGCCCTGGCCCCTGCCCTGCCTTCATTCTGCCAGGGCTCTAAGGACTTATGAAGTGGAAACAAATTCCAGCCTGGAGCCCTAGAACCATCACAGAACAGGACCCCACTCCACCCCTCTCCCTTGCTTCTCCCCCTCTCTGCCTCCTTCCTCCTCTCCCTCTCCTACCACCTGCCTAAGCCCAGTGACCCCTCAGACCTGGCCACATTTCTCATTCTGAACTAAGGGGGTGGGCTCTTGGCCCCTAGGACTGCCCCACCCCAGTTTCGACCTAGCCACAAGCAACAGGGGAGTCCTGGAGTGAGGACGGGGTGCCCCCTGCTCTCCCCCGGCCAGTCACCTGAAAGGGACTTACTTGGTACGGAAGTCATCAGCAGCCAGACGGGCATTGTCAATCTGCAGCAGGATGTTGGCATTGTCCACAGTGGCTGTGAGGATCTGGGGAGTTGGGAAAGCAACCAGGTCAGCTTAGCTCCAGATTCCGAGCAGGCCTCCCTGCCTGGGGGCCAGGACCAGCTGCCTTTTCAGGAACCCCATCTTCCCACCAGCCTCTCCCATATACTGTGCCATCATTGTTGGCAGAAGCGGGCAAGAGGGATTCTCATGAGCCAAAACTTGCCTCCCCTACCCCTATCTATCCCTAACCCCCCTGCAGGGCTCGCCCTCAAAGCAGAGGAGGTAGCCGGCTGGGAAGGTGGCAGCTCCAGAGGAGAATGGGAGAATGTCTTCAGCCCAGACATTCAGCTCTTCCAGAATTCCAGAAAGTGAAGAGGGAGTGTGACCAATCCCCTGTTGACAGCTAGCCAGATGGTGCCCCTGAGGGTCTCCCCCTAAAGATTGCTAGAGGAACCCTCTCCAACAGTAATTTCAAATCAGAAATCACAACCCCTGGGAAGTGCTAACCTGGGGCTCCATCATTCAGTCCCACTCCCTGGGGTTTGCAGAGCCCCAATCTTGAGGGACAGAGAAATCCCTAAACAAGGCCCATGAGAGACCACCCCTATGCTGAGCTCTACCTCTGCCCTCCTGCCTCTCCTCCTAGCAGGTACCATCAGGAGCTGGCTCAGACCCCCATCCCACTACTCCAGGTCCTGCCGGCCTCTGCTCTAAAGGAGAGATGCCCATGTGTCCAGATGCCCCGCCTGGGACCAGGCCTCCACATGCATCCTCGAGAACTATCCCGCAACCACACGAGGAGACAAGACACTGCCTGAGGGGAAGATCGATGCTCCAAGGAGCCTCACAAGGCCTGCTTCTCTGTGGCCCAGGATGCTGCCCCAGGAAAGGGCAATGTGGGCCACGTAGGGTCTCCACGACAGGCTCTGGACGCCAGGCCCTAGATTTCCTTCAACCCTGTGGCAGCCCAGACTAGACTCCAGGCCTTCTCTATAGGACATGGGAGAAGTCATGCTCCCAGGGGCCCCTCCTGTCAGCAGGCCCTACCTTGTTCTTCAGATCTTCGATGATGTGGTAGTAATGGCTGTAGTCGGGGGCGGGCCCAGGGGCCTGCTTCTTGTACCAGTCTCGGATCTTCACCTCCAGCTCGGTGTTGGCCTCCTCCAGGGCCCGCACCTTGTCCAGGTAGGAGGCCAGGCGGTCATTGAGGTTCTGCATGGTGGCTTTCTCACCTCCGGCCAGCAGCCCATCAACGCCCCCAAAGCTGCCTCCATAGCTGCTGCCAGAGCCGAAGCTGTAGCAGCTAGAGTAGTTGGCACCCCCCAGGGCACTGCCCAGGCCACTAGCTGACCCCAGCCTGCAGGAGCCGCCACCCAGGCTGCCAGACAGTCGGCAGGAGGCGCGGGATGAGCCGCCCCCCAGGCCAGAGGAGCCCTTGATGGAGCTGGAGGAGGTGAACTGGCGGATGGTGGTCGTCATGGTGGCAGCGGGTGGCGGGCACAGAACGAGAGGGCTCAGGAGGTAGCGAGGCGCCAAGGTGCGTGTTACTGCTGGGGCTCGCCGCTTCCTTTATAGGCCGGCAAGTGGGCGTAGCGATTACAACAGGCTCGCTGCTCTGTTTCCATTCCCCTGGGCTTTCATCACCCTTGGCTACCTGCCAGCTCCCAGGTGGCTGTGGGCCCCCCTCCCCTCCCAACATCAGGGCTTTGCCTCATTTCTCCAAACCCCCGCGCTGGGCGTCTGCATGTGCATGTGTGTGTCTCTGGTCTCAGGTCCGTCACCTGTGAATCAGGCTGGCCCTCCAGCTATGCTTTCCCATGACCTAATACGGAGAAGAGGAGAAGGCAGGACGTCACCGTCACAGGCCCTCCCAAGCAGCTGCCACCTCAGCAAAGGCTTCCTGGACGCTGGGTCCGATGGAGAAATGGCATGGCCCCCGCCCCCACCAGGTTGCTTTCCTTTGCCACACATGGCAGTCCCAAGGCTGGGTGCTAGGGAGACAAAAAGGATGGAGCACCCGTCCTGCCTTAGAATCTGGACTTGAACCCCCCAGCCCCCAACAACACAGGAACCCCCTGAGCCTCAGGTTACTAGTCCAGGTCCCAGCTGAGGAAACTAGGGCTTAGCAAGGGAGCCAAGGTCCACCCTGCCCACCTCACACCAGCCTGGGCTGGCGGGGCTCCTCTTAACCCTTCACCAAGCCACTATGCCCATTCTCCCAAGGACTCCCCTTCTGTGACGCCCTGACACCTAGGGATGCACTTCTGGGGCAAAGGCTCCTTCTGGTCAGTTTTCTGGCCTGACCCCATCCCTGGGTCATTGGAACCCAGCCTTCTCTTCTAAATCTTCCCTTTCCTTCCCCCTACAGGTGACGTCCAGGGCTGAGGTATGCAAAGCAGAGCTTAGCTACAGGATGGGGAAATGGGGGCTGTGGGAGGAGTGGGGTGGTAAGAGGGTATCTGTGAGTGGTGTGTTCATTTCCACCCTCCTGACCCCTTCTGTGCCCCAAGAGACCTAAGGGAAGGATGAGGGGCCCTTATCCCACAGCCAAACAGAAACCTAACGGACATGGCTCCAAAAAAGACTCCTCCCTGGAGCCCTTCCTCTCCAGACTCCCCAAGATGTGACTTCCCAGGGCGGCCATGTGCCCTGCCCCACAGCTCCACCCTGCCCTGCCCACCATCCCAAGCCCAGCCCTGGGTCCCAGGGTCCCGACAGGCCCGCTGGGCGGAATGTGGTCGTGTTTCAGGCTGCCAATGTGTTCCACCTCCCAGACAGGCCCAGGCAGCCCCCAGACAGCAGCTGAGAGCGTTTCCCCAATAGCCCAGCCGCTGCCAAGCCACCAAAGCAAACAGGACGCCCCCCACGCTCACATGTACAGTGGCCACCCCACCCCCCACACGCCCCCAGCTGAGCCAGGCAGAGCCGGTCTGGTTTCCTGGGCAGGCTGGGCAGCTGCCACCCCCTCTCATCCATCAGTAGTGCTCTGGACCACTCCTCTGGAAAGCCCCCTGCCCAGCCCCTGTCCTTCTGCCCTTGAACCACCCCGCCCCCCCGCCCGGGCCTGATGCAAGGAGCATTCTTTAATTGCAGTGTTCCCCAGAAAGTCTGTGGGGCCCTCCCAGAGACCAGCCACAGAACACAGGGACCCAGAGGCTGATTCTTGGAAACTTCCCGGGCCTAGCGGGCCATCCCAGGCCTCCACCCTCGACACTTCCGCCTCCTCCCCTCTCATCTTCCCAGGAACCCCAGGCCTGAATGGAGTGGGCAGGACAGGTGGGCAGATGACAAGCGATACCAGACGCTCAGTGAACTCTCCTCCCCCAAAATCCCTCAGCCCACGCTGCCCAAGCCAATGACCAGACCAGATCACAAGTTGAAGGGCTGAACTTCAGCAAAGCTTTAATTGCAGTCACGAGGCAAACTCAGGAGGCCCCTGATTGGGGGGCTGCAGGAAGCAAATACAGAAAGGCTGAGCAGCTCATGGGGTGGGGCCCAGGCAGGCGCTTGGGGCCTGGCAGCAGCGTGCTGGGAGCTGGAGGCGATGGCTGCCCCTTGGCCTTCAATATGCTGAAAGGGGCATCAGTGAGTGGAGCGGTGGACCTGCTCACGGGAGGAGACCACCTTGCCATCCTGGACTTCCTCCACGATGGTGCGCACCTGGCGGCTTGTCACCGTGGCTGCAGGTGGTGAAGGACGGGGCACAGGAGCCTCAGGCGGGAGACCCTACCCACACCAGCCACCCCATCTGCGGCTCCCCCAGTCTCCCACACAGAAAGATCCTCAGCCTCTCCCCTCCCGCTGGGTCTGCGCTGCCCCTCCCTTGGGCAGGATGGGGCAAGCTCTTACCTTCGCGGGAGGGCTGCGAGGCCAGGGACGAGGAATACTGAGAGGCCAGGCTGCAAGGAGAAGGGGACGGGTCAGCCCAAGGGTGTTGGCTGGCCAGAGGGCCCCTGGGAGCATACTGGGGAGGATCTGCAGCCAGGGAAGCCAAGGAGGAGGGGAGAGAGTTCCCTACAATCTGGGAACTCACAGCTGGGAGCGCAGAGTGCACAGGCGGGAGGATGAAGCCTCACAGTGCACAGCAGGAGGAAGAAAAAGGGACAGCCTCAAGGCACTTTGTGGCTACTTTGTGACCACTAACCCAGAATTTACAAGGAGGAGCTGAGCAAGTGGTTTTTCCATATCCTGAAGGGCCCAGCAAATAGACTCAGGAGAGACTGTGGTTAGACTACAGATGGACTCCACCACTGTCAGGAAGCAAAGGGCTAGAACATGTGACTCAGCGTGGAGACTCACCAGGTGGCCAGCCCTTCACAGCAGGGTCTCCATCAACATTCCCAACTCCAAACCAGAGGCTCACCCGCCCTGCTCCTAGGCTTGTCCTGGCTGATAGCGTCACCAGCCACACAGTTGACCAGACCAGAAACTCAGGGCCATCACTACCCACTTCCTCACGTGCTCACTTGACGTTCACTGAGCACTGACTGAGGCACGTGGGCCCCATGCTCGGGTGTCCAGCCCTGCCTCTCTCCTGCCCCTTCTCCCACACACAGCAGGACTCCTTTGGCCTGACTCTCTCTCCTGACTGATCTCTCCAGCCCACCCTAGCCCCTCTGATCCATTTCTCCCTCTTCAGCCCAAGTGAATGTTCTAAAAGATCTAGAAGGTCGTGCCCTCCTGCGCTCCAAATCCCTCCATGGCTCCCAACTGCCTACACAATCCACTCCAGATGCTGTCCTCTGGAAGTCGGAGCCTCCTCATGGTCAGGCCCCGGTGGGGTGCTCCGTCTCACTCCCTGGGCAGAGTCGCCTCCAGCCCACCCCAGCAGGTGTCGGGCACCCCCACTCACTGGGAGTCCTCGCCCTCCAGCAGGCGGCGGTAGGTGGCGATCTCCTGCTCCAGCCGCGTCTTCACGTCCAGCAGCACCTGGTACTCGTGGTTCTGGCGCTCCATGTCGCAGCGCAGCTCGCAAAGCTGCTGCTCGATGCTGCTGATGAGCCCCTGCAGCTGGGCCAGCTGGGCCCCGTAGCGCGCCTCCGTCTCCGCCAGGCTGTTCTCCAGGGATGCTTTCTGTGGCCCGAGAGGCAGGGGTCATGGTGACCATGAGCTGGGACCCTTTCCTGAGGCGGGGCACCCCACAGGGGTCCCCCCCCCGTGGGGCTGTGGGTGCAACCAGCACAGTGGGGCTGTAGCTGGGCAGAGACCCACGCCATGGAGTGCCAGTGAAGGCTGGGCAGGGAGCCCCGGCCCTCTGAGCAGGAGTCTACAAGGTGGGGCCACCCTGGGCGGGAAGGGCCCAGGCCTACCATGCTGATCTGCGACTGCAGCTCGATCTCCAGGTTCTGCACCGAGCGGCGGAGCTCTGTGATCTCGGTCCTGCTGCTCTGCAGGGCCTCGGTGTTGGTGGCCACCTCGCGGTTCAGCTCCTCCGTCTGGAAGGCAGGTGGTCCGCAGGGGCTTGAGCAGACGTTAGAGGGGGATGGGGCGGCCCCTACCCTCTCTCCCAGATCGCCCCCCCAGCATCTTCCTGGCCTCTCTGGGGCCCCAAAGGCATCTGTCCCCAGAGACCCTCTATGCCTACATGGAACTGGACAGACATTCGCTCGGTTATCCCCAACTGACCAGGAGGACCTCAAAAACAGGGATCAGGCTTTATTTTTTGTATGTCTGTTAATGTCCCTGGCACCCTATAGATAGATGCTCGGTGTGTGTTTACCCCGGGTGTGAGTTATGGATCCCAAAACACATCCTGCAACACCTGTGGTGGGAGGAGCCCTGGCCAGGGCTGTGGAGACCTGGACCTGTTCCCCAGGCCACCACGGAGGGCTCAAGCTGAAGCCTCTCCCGACTCTCGGTTCACATTTAAGCATGAGGGCTGGTCCAATTGGTTTCCAAAGGTCCTTCCAACTGGGACAGCCTGCGGATCTGCGAGGGCTCCAGCACACAACAGCACTGGCACATGTGCCCACACGTGAAGCACACCTGCTCCCACACGGCCACCCACCTTGGTGAAGAACCAGTCCTCGGCATCCTTGCGGTTCTTCTCGGCCATCTTCTCATACTGGTCACGCATCTCATTCAGGATGCGGCTCAGGTCCACGCCCGGGGCTGCGTCCATCTCCACACTGACGTCCCCGCCCACCTGGCCACGAAGGGCATTCATTTCCTGGGCAGAGAAAACAGCAGGAGCTCACCCAAGGCCATCCTAAGGAGAGGCCCCAGGACCTCAGAGAGGCATGCGCTGATGACAGACAGACCAACGGCTCCTCATCCTGACGGCCCCAGGCGGATGTCAAGTCTCAAATGCACAGAGCTAGGGATACGACAATGTCCCCAACACACACTGAGACGCTGAAGGGAGATTCCACCCATCTCCAGCATGTGTGGGGGGGGGGGGGGACAGGAGAGAGACAGCAACTCCCAGCATGCAGAGGAAGAGCCAAGGCAATCTCATTGGCCACACTGACGCCTGCCCTGTCCCCACTACCACCCCAGAGCACGGGAACAGGAACACCTATGCTGGTGTCAGCAGGAGCCAGGCCTCACTGAAGCAACTGCACGAGGGAAACACTTTCTGTATGTCCTACTGTGTGAGAATCCGGCACCCCCTACAGCCACAAGAAGGGAATCGAAGACCACTTGTGTCCCTGAGAGAACACTCCATTCTTGGACTAAGCCTTTGGGTACCTAAAACCTAGAGTTCTCTGGAAAAAGGAGGCAGGAGAGATGGCGGAGAGGTGGAGTCAGACCTGAGTGTAGATCTGGTCAGACAGACCTGGGGTGAGGTCCCTGTGCAGACTTGGCTAAATTCCTTAACCTCTCTGAGCCTCAGTTTCTTTACTGGCAGAAAGAAGGAAAGAGTATCTTTCTCCCAGCAATGTTGTCAATATCAGCTGCAGTAATTGCTGTGAATCACATGTAATGTGCTGGGCAAAGGCTTCTTGTTGTTAGGACTATCACTATTATAATTAATTATAATAATTAGCATTGTGTGTTAGACTGATTTACTCATTAGTGAGTTAACTGCCACGAAGCAGTGAGCCAAGCCTCAAGGGGCAAGGGAAGAGTCTTTGGAGGATGGGCCCCTCCAGGCCTCCCCCAGGGCCCTCTAAGCTCGGGAGTCAGGGTCAGGGCTAGGAACTGGACTGAGTTCACGGCCCCACCTGGGGAGATTCTGCAGCCCAGGCCTGCTTGCTCTCTCCCAGGAGGGCCTTTCCTGGGTTCCGTGACCAGGCCTCACCTCCTCGTGGTTCTTCTTGAGGTAGGCCAGCTCCTCCTTCAGGCTCTCGATCTGCATCTCCAGGTCAGCCCTGGCCAGGGTCAGCTCGTCCAGCACCCTGCGCAGGCCGTTGATGTCGGCCTCCACGCTCATGCGCAGGTTCAGCTCCGTCTCGTACCTGGAAGGGTTTAGAGGTCTGAGCCACAGGGTGCCACCAGGACTCCCCGGTCAACACACAGGGCACTCGTGATGTGCAGAGCTGGGAACCCACCACCAGCCCCCGGGGCAGCCTGGGAGCCCAGACTCACTTAGTGCGGAAGTCATCAGCGGCCAGACGGGCATTGTCAATCTGGAGCACCAAGCTGGCATTGTCGATGGTAGCTGCCAGGATCTGGAAGAGGTGGTGGGTTCCCTGAGCATACTCCCTAAGCAGCCCCGAGGCCTGGCCACACCCCTCTTGCAGCCTTTAGGGAATGCGCTAGAATGAGGATGATGAGGGTCCCTGTGGTGTCCTCCTCTGAGCACCCTGATGTGAATTCCAAGAGCCTCGGAGCAGTGGGGACACCATGCCCAGGCACAGGTAAGCAGGGACACCAGGACAAAGATGCTTATGCACCCCTCCCCCATCACTGTCACCCTCTCCAGGAAGCCCTCCCACATGCCCCATCTGGACCCCTGCCCCAGGCCCCCTCCCTCCCACTCTCCAGGTGGCAGTCTGGTTTCCAAGACTTTTCGGGTTATTTCCTCCTCCCCTAGAATCTGAGTTCCAGGGGAGCCAGACAAGGCCATATCCACCTCATTCCTTTTGGAATCCTAAGGACTGGGCACAGCGCCTGGCCCAGAGTCAGCCCCCAGGGTTCGATTGTCTAATTAAATGATGGATTCATTCACTGATTGATGAGGTTATGACAGCTCCCACCTCTAACCCAGAGCAAAGCTGTTTGGTTTGGTTTGGTTGGTTTTTGCAAGGCCTGCTGGGCAGTTGAATGAGCATGAGGAGGAGCAGAGGGCTGGATATCATCACTGCTGCTGTCACTGGGATCCTTGGACACATGCAAGAAAAGCCCCGATGGAGAACCCCGGGGGTACAGAGGGAAGAGCTTGCAGGTGGCACTTAAGCTGGGTAGATCTTGGACTGGGACAAAAAGACCCAAAGGCTGAGGGTGTGGGAGGGACAATCCCCAGCCAGGCCATCCCTGGCATCGAGGGTCACACCAGCTCCCCTCTCAGGCCTCACTCGAGGCCCTGAGTTCTGGGAAGTGACCCTGGAGCCGCTGAGCCTGAAGACCAATTTGTTCCCCTCTCCGGGCCTCAGTGGGCCCCTCTATAGCCGACATCTATCAGAGCTCAGTTCCTACCCACCTCAGTGCCCAGGAGGCCGGCTGGAACAGGGAGGGCCCACTGTGAACACTTCAGAGGGACCGAGTCTGGTGCCGGGTGCGCCGGGGGCTGACGGTGAGGTGCTGGCTAACCCCGTAGCTCAGAGCACTGACTCACCAGGGCTCCCCCGGGTTCCCCAACTCCCCAACCAAACTGGTATCTGATCTGGCACTGCCAGTGCCTCCGCTTCCAAGGCGAAATGGCAGGAATTCCCTGCCTGGTGGAGGTCCCGGGCAGGAGCAGACAGAGCCCCTCACAGGGCAGCCTCAGGCCTGGCTCTCCACCCAGCAGCCTGGGCAGGCCTCAACGCCGAGGCCCAGCCAGGCCCAGCATGCCCTGCTGCCCCCTCAACCCCCACTAGGACCACAGCTTGGCGGACACTCTCAGAATAAGTTAGTACCAAAGACCAGAATGATCATGTTTACAGACCGCGACAGCCATGTCCTTAGAGGGCATGAGGGCATGTATGAGTGCAGGGGAAGGTGGCGGGGGTTGGGGGGGGGTCTCCTCCATTAGACTAGCTTCAGACTGAGTGGGAAAATGCAGCTTCTGACCCCAGGGGCCCCTCAGTCTGCCAGGAGAAACATGGTCCCTGCCCTCGGAGAACTCAAGAGACCATCACAGAGAGTAGGGAAGACCCACACCTAAAGCACACAGACTGAACCTCAGAATGTTAAAGAGACTCGAAGACCTGGGGACAGAGGCAAGTGACATCCATCCAGAAGGGCTGCCTGAAGGAGGCATGGCAGGCAGGAGGGCAGCCTCAGAGGGGCAAGGGATAGCAAAGACACTCCAGCCTCCTGTTCCAAAAGCCGCACAAATCCTTCCCAGTCCTCTGCCTTTGCCAAGCTGTTCTCTACACCAGGAACGCCATCTCTGCCTTCAAGGTTCTGAAGACTTCCCCGTCTCTCCTCCATCACCCACCCCGAATGTGCTCTCTCTCTAGGGAGGGAGGTGTTCTACTCTGTCCCCCTGGAGAGCGCCCAGTGACCTCACAGCACAAGGTGTCCTCCAGGTGCAGGACTCAGACTGGCCAGGGCTGGGTTCAGAGAAAGGGAGGGAGGGAGAGGGAGGGATGGGAGTCTAGATCCTTGTTTGCAAGGATCTGCAGTTGGATGGGGTGAGTCCAAAGCAGGAACGCAGGGCAGAGGACAGAGGGCAGAGAGCAGGCTCCCACCTTGCTGCGCAGGTCCTCGATGGTCTTGAAGTAGTGGCTGTAGTCTCGGGCAGGCCCGGGGCCCTGCTTCTTGTACCATTCACGGATCTTCATCTCCAGGTCGGCGTTGGCCTCCTCCAGGGCGCGCACCTTGTCCAGGTAGGAGGCCAGGCGGTCGTTGAGGTTCTGCATGGTCTCCTTCTCACCGCCCCCCAGCAGGGCATCCGACACCCCAAAGCTGGAGCCAAAGCCCCCACCCAGGTTGCAGGTGTAGCCACCGCCATAGCCACCCCCGAAACCCGACGAGAAGCGGGACGAGGTGACGGACATGTTGCCGCAGCTGCCGCCTCCCAGGAGGCTGGGGGCCCGACAGGCACCCCCGACGCGGACGGAGGACATCCGGGAGAAACCCCCGCCAGGCACGCACAGGCCCTTGACAGAGCCAGAGGATGAGAACTGGCGGATGCTGGTGGTGGTGGCAGCCATGGTATCCACAGGTCAGGCACAGGGTCTGGTCTGGACAGAGACCCTGGGCCACTCTTTATAGCCAAACTGAAGGGAGGCTGGGCCCCTGGCCCTTGAAGTCCAAGCCAAAACCCCAGCCATATAATTTTCCTCTGTACCAGCCGCCCAGGGCCTGGGGCTCAGGCTGGACATGCCAAATGCTTCCCCTAGGCCCCTTCCTGTGCCCAGGCCCAGCCTGGGCAAGATGGCCTCTTAGCAGTTCATTGTTCAGAAACAAAGGTGGTGTTGGAGCCTCAGCCCCGGGGTAGGGTGATCCTCCATCTTCAGCGGCAATTAGGAGGCTGAGCTCATTCTTGGGGGGAGTCCGGAGAACCCAGCCCTGGGAGCAGAAGGGCCTGGAACAAGGCTGCACAGGCCTGGGAGCCAGAGGGCCGGTCTGACCCCCCACTGAGCATGCCAGGGCCTCAGGGGAGAAGGTGGAGAGATTTGGAGCCCAACCTCCTCCCCCAGGTGTAGCGTGGCCCCCACAGTCCCTGCATCTGAGTGGGGAGGATGACTTGAGGGAACCCCCAGCTCCTTTAGGACTATTCTAGTCTGCAAGAGGAGACGTCGCCCCAGGCCTGGGGGATTCCTGAGTCAGGGGAACAGACATGGTCACCGACCCGAGGGAGCTTGGGATCCAATTCTATCAGGAAGCCAGGGTGGAAGCCGAGTTTCCTCACTTGTAAGAGGAGATCATTCTGTCTCCCAAGGCTTTGGGGGGAATCTGGAGGGACAGTGACATCAGTCAAGCTCTGTCAACACTGTAGGCAGGGGTGGGGGCCAAGGGGACGGGGCCTGAGGTCACAGGGTAAAGGTGACCTCCCAGCTCACCCTCCACAGCTCTCAGCCCTGCGCCTGAGCCCATCCAGAGGGAATCCCGGAGGAGGTGCCCGGGGAGTGGGAGGAAGCAGGCTTATGACCAGGGTGGCCCTCAGTGAAGAACCATGTCCCTGTCCCAGCAGCCAGCAGGATCCCATAGCCTGGCAGCCGGCACCCACTCCACCCAACAGAGATTAGCAGCCTAATCACAGCGGCACTAATGATTTAGGCACTGCCAGGACACTGGCGTCTGCGCTGGGCCTGTTTGAATGTGGAGCCTCAGGGGGCAGCCAGGGCCTGAGGGACAAGGTGCATGGGTGGCCTGGGCTGTCTGCCCACAACTGGAGTCAGGGAGGGAGGGAGTTTTCTCTGTGACCCAGGGTTCCTGTGATGAGGCTAGACTGCTAGAAAGACTTCCTGCTTAGAAGTTGGCTCTCAAACGGGGGTGGGGAGAATATTAAAAATGTTAAGATGAAGAAAAAGAGGGTTCTCTCTCACAGGATGGTTCCCCTCATTTGCCCAGTGCCAGGGTGGGATTGGCAAGGCCATCTGGGAGAGGGGCAGAGCCCTGACTTCATCCTGCTCCCACCGTGCCTGTGAAGGGTATGGCAGGAGGAAGCTCAAAGCCAAGGCTAGAGAGCAACTCCAGACCACCCCAAGGTTAGACATCGAGAAGAACTTCCTGGCAATCTAGATTGTCTTGGGGGACAGAAGAGACCCTGAAGAACTTGGATTCACCTGAGGGGGACAGAGGCAGGTCCTGCACCAGCCGACCACCTCCCAGGGGAGGACACAAGTGAAGGCCCTTCTTCTTCCTCTGCCAGAGCCACACTCCCAAGAGCCCTCTGCCCCAGGAGCTGACTGGCCTCCCCCAGGTGGGCCTCATTCTGGGCTGGGGGAAGGACTGCCTTGCCTTTCAGCACTAACCTTGGAGCAAGCCCGGGCCTGGGGAGGCAGCCAGGCTGCTGTGACCCTCCCTCTACACCTCTCCCTGCAGCCCAAGCGCCCAGCCTCCCTGCTTCTCTGTGGCCTCCCCTCCCTGGTGCCTCCTCTGGGCATCCCTCTGGACTGAGTCTCCTCAGAAGCAGGACAATGAGCCACAGGTGTGGCCCCAGGCCCCCGCCCCCCTGCACCCCCGCCTCCGGTTTTGCCCAGTTGACTGATGAACTTTCCAGCTCCCCATCTTCTACTTTCAGGGACTGCAGACCTTGACCTTGAGGCCCAGTTTCAAGGAGATTCTGTTAATTCTCCAAAATCACAGAGTCCTCTTACCCCACTACCACTATTTAGCCCCCACAAGGCCCCTCGCCTCTGTCATCAGGCTTCTCCCTCTCTGGGCCTCGGTTTCCCCATTTCTCAGTTTCTCCCCCGGGAGTCAGTGACTCCCAGGCCCCTTTGGAGACTGCACCACCCGAGAAGCCCCTCTGACACCCACCCCAGAGAGGCCTCACGGGCCGAAGGATAGGCCCTCTCAGCCTCCCGCCCCAAAGAGAAGCCGGAGTTAAGACCACAGCACGGAGATGCCAGGGGGACCTGAGGGAGCCTCCTGACCCTCTGCGGCCATCCCTGGGCAGGGCTAAGAAGACCTGGACATTTCTCCTCGGGCCTCACAACCATGCAGTGAGGAAACCGACGGGCAGAGTGCTTGAGCGGCGGCCGTCCAGGTGGCCAGCATTAGCGTCAGGGCCAGGCCTGGAAGCAGCGCCTCCAGCAGCCTCCACTCTCCCTGCCCAGCGAGGAAGGCCTGGCAGGACCTGGCCAAGGACCCCGCAGTGCACCTCTGAGCTGTGAGCCTTCCTGCCTGGGCCTGCCCTCCGCCTCCAGCAGGGAGAGGCCCCTGACCACCCCCGCAGCTGTCAGCAGCTTGGCTCATGTGGAAGACCAAGAGGAAGAGGAAGAAGCCGTCCAAAGGGCTCCTCCACGCCACCCCCAGAGGTACCTGGAATCAAGCACAGGTGGGAGACAGAAGCGAGAGGAGGGCCCAGGAAGATGGGAGAGCCCTGGCAGTCAAGCCTAGGCTCTGCCCCCACCTAGGTCCTCTGCCTCCTCTCCAGAGACTGCTGGAAAGCCACCAGGCTCCAGACGAGGCAGGGACAGATCCACCCTGGGATCTGAGCAGGACCAAGGAGCTGGAGAGGCAGCACATGGATGCTCACCCCTTACACTGGTGGAAGAAGGAGGGTAAAGAATGATGTGGAGGCCCTGTATACAATGGGTGTCCAATAGATGCAAACATCTGCCACATCTGCCCGGCTGACCTTGGCTCCTGTAGGTCCCCCAAACATTAAAAGTCCCTAGCCTAGCGGTGGCACACACCCGTAATCCCAGCCACTCAGGAAGCTGAGGCAGGAGCATTACCAGTTCAAAGCCAGCCTCAGCAATTTAGCGAGGCCCGTCTGAAAATTTTAAAAGGGCCGAAATGTGGCTCAGTGGCTCAGTCAGTGGTTAAGTACCCCTGGGTTCAATCCCCGGTACCAAAAAAAAAAAACAGTCAATTCCTGCAATGGTGCCCACCCTACAGCCAAAGCAGGGCTTGTATTCAGCAGGTGCTCTGTAAGTGCTTATTGAATTGTTAGGGTCATGGAGCCCAAGTGGTGACCATGGGACAATCACAGTGCCCAGGAAGGGAACATAGATACCTTCCTTCCCCACAAGGAAAAGTGTGTATCAGGTAGTTGGGGAAGTAAACTCCAGAGCCCAAGGTGGGCTCCCAACCGGACGAGGACAGGACTCCATAGGCCCTCACTCTGCCCCCAGGCCCTGCATCGAGGGCTCCGAGGGCTCCGTTGACTCCACAGCCACTGAGTCCCTCTCACCTGCAGGCACCCTGACTGGAGCAGGATGAGCAGGGCCTGCCAGGAACCCACAGGTCCCTACCCTCACCTCACCCCCCACACACAAGCAGTCCCTACCCCTGGACAGGCATCCCCTGGCCAGAGCGCAGCCTCCCCAGCCACTCCTGCCCACCCCGCCCTCAAGAGGAATCCTCCTCTTCCTCTATACAGTTTCCTGGCCTCTGTCCCGAGGCCCCAGCATCCCGCCCAGATCCACCCACTAATGATCTGTGTCTGGCTCCAAGGAGGCCTCGCCCTGCACCTCCCCGGTGCCCTCCAGATGTGCCGTCACTGCAGCTCCACAGCCTCCCGCACACGCCAGGGGCTCCCCCGCCAGGAGCAGACTCAGCCCCTCTTCCCTGCTGTCCCACCCAGCCACCACCCTCTGACAGGTTTCCAGGAACCCTGACTGGGGTGGCCCCAAGACAGCACAGACAGCCTGTGACACCTGCCCTTCCAGGCAGAGCCATCTCAGCTGCCCAAGAAAATGACCCAAAGGTCAGGAGGCTCCAGAGGAGGTCCAGGGCAGGAGCGAGGGCTGGGAACCAGGGGGGAGGAAGACCCAGGCCTCAGGGAGTCGAGTGGGGAAATCCGCCTCTGCCCACGGGCTGAAGGACCCCAGTGTGCCCAGACCACCTCTGCCCCGCCAGCCCTCATCCCCTCTGTCCCTCTGTGTTCCCCTCTGCCTCCCCGTCCCTCCCCCCTCCTACCCCCCCCCTCCCCCTTCCTTCCTGAGGAGTTTTTTGTTAAGGTGAAAGGGCAGCAGCCCGGGCAGGTTCGCCTCTCAGGTCTGGGGCTCACACCCCCTGCCCACCTGGCCCTGCAGACTGGCGGAGGGGCCCTGGGACACTGAGGGCCCAGGCCCCGCCCTTGCAGCCCACCTGCCCCCTCTGCTCTTCTCCGGGAGCCCTGCGCAGGCTGGCTATTCCCTCCAGATTCACACTGACTCACACCTGTGACTTAATGGTGCTCTCCTTGTGTGGCCTCCTCCAGGGCAGGTGTGACCAGCCTCCTGGAAAGGGAGGCCATCTCTCCCCTCAGCTTAGATACCTCCTCCGAGTAGCAATCGAGGGTTTCCCCTGGGTGGGGAACAGTCTTGGAGTGGGAGTTGATGCTCCCAGGTGAGCTTCTGAGCAAACCTCTCTCCTTCCCTCACCTCACACAACCTGCAGGAAGCAGGGTCTCTGGGCTCCTTGTCCTGGTGCTGATCACCCAGCCCACCACACTGGGACCCGCTGGCCCAACAGACAGGGGGGAAGCAGAGGACCTGCGAGGAGGACAGTAGGAAGACTGGGGAGTGGGGACCAGGGGAGAAAGACCAGGGGAAGGGGATCTGAGCAGGAGGATCAGGGGAAGTGGATCAGAGGAGGACGCAGGGAGGAAGAAGCAGAAGAAGTCCAGGGGAGGGAGGGGCAGGGACATCAGAGGAAGAGGATCAGGCAGAAGGATCAGGAGAGGTTGTCCCTTCTTTTTTTTTTTTTTTTTTGGTACCAGTATGGAACCCAGGGGCACTTAACCACTGAGCCACATCTGCAGTCCATTTTATTTTTTTTTGGGGGGGGGGGTGGACAGGGTCCCACTAAGTTGCTGAGGCTGGCTTTG